GTAATGCACAATGGATGGCATTCAGCCAAAATTATGAGGCATGCTAAAAGACCAAACAGAATCTCTTAAAGCCCAGAAAAATATAAAAGCATAGAAAACAATAGGTAATTCAGACATTCATTTTTCAGATAAGAACTTTATCATTACTAAGATTAAAGTGTTTAGGAATATAGAGGAAAAGATAGAGAAATTCAGCAGAGACCTGGAATCTATGAAAAAGAATCAAAATATATTCTAGAACTAAAAATGCAATATTTTACATGAATTTAATATTAAAATTCATTCAGCTTGTGGGGGAATCCAACCCCTCACAATTATATCACAGGTCCGATAGGCACAATTGTACGGTTAAGATATATAAAGGTTACAGTAAGGTCACAGAGATCGGAGAGAGAGTAAAATGAAGGAGTCAGACACATCTCATGGTGGCATGCTCACCTCCTGGACAGCCATGATCTCTCCAGCTGGGTCTGCCCACAACGTGGGCAGAGAGGGCAGGAGAATTTCTCATTATTTCTGGCCAAGGCCCATATATACTTAGGGGCGTGATTACAGATAACCACACATGTCACAGGAAGGGGCTGTAGAATAGGCATAAGTGTGACAGGAAGGGGATGAGCTAGGGGTGTACACGCAATAGGAAGGGGAGAGATTAGGGGTACACATGTGACAAGATGGGCAGACCCTAGACTCAATATGGCAGCCTAACCTTGGGCACCCTTGAGTGGGCTTGACCTCCCTGGGCTCTCCTTCAGGGAAACAATCTACCATCCTTATCAGAAGGGACTGGGGCCCTACTTGGGTGGGACAGACTACACAGTCTGATTGCACTAGATGGCTGATAACCCTTAGGGAGAATAGCCTCTCTGACCTGCTTTTGTTGACCTTCAAGTGGACAGCAGTTGGCGAGATGTGGCAGCAGCGTCTTAGGTTTGGCATATAGTTGGGGAAGACAACATGGGAGCATTCTTTCTGTATCCAACATTCAGCCCAGCCCAGCTCAGCAGAACCATAAGTATGTAAATTAAAAGTCAATGAAAATTATCCAGATGGACACACAGATAAAGATGGATGAAAAACTGTGTGTGTGTGTGTGTGTGTGTGTGAGAGAGAGAGAGAGAGAGAACACGCAGATAATAGATCAGAGAAAGTTATTCCAGAAGGACCAGAAATAATCATTTCCGAAAAGGAAGTCATCCACGAGATATAACAGGTTCAAGTTCTATTCTCTTTAGGAGGGATAAGAAAACGTTACCTAAACATAGCATATTAAAAATGTTAACAACCAAAGACTGAATATCTTAAATGTGGCCAGAAGAAGAAATAAACCATAATCCTCAAAGCGGCAGTGGTGAGATTGATTCCCCACAGAACCTGAGAATTTTATACTCAGCTAAAATAGCCCGGGGGAATAAAGGTGCTACTGAATTGTCCATGTTAAATGGGTTAATTGCATGAAGAAGGGTAGAGATTTAAACTGCAATAATGCTGACATTGACTTGATGGCAGTTTTGTTTTGTTTTAATCGATCAAAAGATCTACCTTTCCTATATCCAAACCTCTCCCTTGACCAGTATTTATCACTGGAGCTCATTCCCAGCACTCTCATCATGAATAATAAACTGTCTTCACACGAGGTTACATGTCCTGCAATCCCTCCCAATGCAACAGGGCACTGCTTTACAGGACTGGCCACTGAACAAGTTACAAATATCAGTGCGGTTAAAGATGTCAAGTGGCCCGCAGCACAACCCGATGGGTTTTTAGGACAAAGAAAAGAAACTCCGATTTTTCTAGCTACCTCTAAGCAGCCGGGGCAGACACTAGAGCCCCAGCACTCCGCTCACCCACTGATATGGCTCTTTGCAGTGCACCTTCACACACAGCACCAGCATCTCTTTGCCCCTTCCCAAAGCATCTTCATCCCTTGCCCTTCAGTGTTCCGGTCAAATCCCTCTTCCTCAGCTCAGCACATGGCCACCAGGAGAATGAGTGCCCGGAGCTGAGGGCACATCTGTTTGCATCCTTCTTCTGGACACACACATGAAGAGAAGAACCGCTCAGCACCGGGAGGAAGAAACAAGGGTGAAACCAGGATTTTAGTGCCGAGGCAAATTTCACAAACACAAGTGAAGAGCAGGAAAATGCGGCCTGCTACGCCTTATGCCTGCTTCCACTCAGCTCCGGAGAACAGCTGCTGCACTAATTACTAACGTGACCGAGCTGAAGCATCCGCTCTGCTGAACCCAAGCAGCATCCTCACCCAGTAAAGACAGGCGGTGACAAAAAGTCCTTCTAGCCCCGTCCTGCAGAAAGACACCAGCTACCCGGAGCCCCACCTTTTGATCCAAGCCAGCTCCTGAGTTGAGTACACACCACCAAGCTGCTAGTGGGTGATCAGAAGTAATGAGAGTAAAAACGGCCACCGTTCACCAGTACCGATCCGGTTCAAGGGTAAAGAAGCCCAGACACCTGTATCTATCTGGCTGCCACTTTAGTTTCTTCTCCTTTTTAGCCTCATGGTAGGAAAATGAGAAGCACTGGTTGGTTGCGCACTGGATTGCTAAGCACAAGGCCAGCAGTTTGAAACCACCAGCCGCTCCACGGGAGGAAAGCTGAGACTGCCTGCTCCTGTCGGGAGTCCTGGTCTGGGAAACCCGGTCTTGCAGGGTTGCTGCGAGTCGCGGCACCAACTCCGTGGCAGTGAGAAGGCAAGCCTTAAGCACTGGCACCTGCCTAATCCACATTCTGGAAATCAGACAGACAAACTGCCTTGGGCAAGGGAAGCGCTGGAGGAGTAATCACCTACGTAATTAAAAATACACCCGGGAGTGGGGCACGGAGGAAAGGCTAGGTGCTGGAATGTGAACAGTCAAACGTTCTGAACACCACGGAGGGCTCCCCCGTTCAAACAGACCTTCTCCCTCCGAGATGAGGCTCTTAGGAGTCAAAGTGAAAATGTTGATAGTACATTCTCACAGACAAGAAGATTGGGCCACCTCTGGAAACTGGGGGCCACATGGAGAGACTGGGAGGGGGGGGCTGTAGAACCCAAAAAGGGAGCCCGAGGCCATGCCCTCACTGTATGGACGCAGCTCGAGGAGCCGGTTTCTCCTGAAGGAAGGCTGAAGCTGGGCGGGAGGCTCTCACCTCCCCGTGAATAGAGCCTTCGTGCAGCTGCGCGTTTCTTTGGGTGGAGAGCACTTCAAATGCTTACTTGATCCGTAACTACTTCCTGTTCACCCACGACAACGGTGTCACCGAGTCTTCACGTCTGAAACGACCGACGGCAGAGACGTTTCTCTGACTGCCAACCTCTGTAGCGAATGAAGAGGGGTGCTGGTGTCAAGGATATGCTATTCCTTAAAGGTCGGGCACTGGGTGCTACAGGGGAGCACCCAGTCGAGGGCCAACGGCCACACTCTCATCTGAAGATATTCCACCAGCATAAACCTGCATATCGAAGGGACTTCTCTGGACGGTGTGAAGTGGCAACAGAATGTCATTTATCAGCTTCAAGGAGAAGAGGATATCAGTGTGATGGCGCCAACCCCCAGCATCAGAAGCAAGCAGGTGGTCTCGGGCGTCCAGAGGCCGGATCCGAGACACCTTCACCGGGCCGTGACAGCTGAGTCTTAATAAACACACCACCACCAGGTGTTTGCAATGGGCCAATGCGAACGCGGACGCAGCACATTGCTTTTTAGAAAATATTGGAGGACGTACTTACAAAACTATCACGAGATAACAAAAGGGATTTCCTGAATTAGGAAGGCAGTCGCCACTCAGCTCGGCGCTGTCTGCAAACCAGACTCACACACATGCACAGCGAGCTTGGTCCTGCTGGAGCAATCTGCAGCTCTAGGACATGGACCACGGATGTGGACCTTCCAGTGCTGGGATCTCCTATGCGAAGCAGTTTGGGAGAACAGGTAGCCAATGCGTACATTTCACTTGGGAAGGAGTTCATTCAGCTAGAGGCTTGGGTATGCATATAGGCAGACACCAGACCTCCTGACACGTTTCCTCGTCTAAGACTTCCTCTTCTTGTCTTGCCGCTCCACTGGCCCCAGAGCTACAGCCGGTCCTGTACGAGAAGGGAAGGCGCGCGCAGGAGAACTGCTCAGGGAAGAGCGGAGGGTTGCGTGGTCTCCGCTCCCCTCCCACCGTCAATGCAGGTGTTGGTGTTGGAGGGGGTTAAAGTCTATACCTGTTATTGATCTTCACTCCACCCCGAGAGCCCCGAGTACCCAGTGAACAGATTCAAATGAACTTTTTCATTCTTTCTGTGTGACGCGGCGACATGAGAGGTTGGCATGTTAAATGCCAGAATTCATTGCGCTCTGAACAGGCAGTCTGCATACAGGCAGCTCACCGGCTATAAGTGGTCTGCAGGGGGTGGGGCAGGGGTCCCCCCGCCCCCGCTGCCATTTGAGTGTTAGCTGGGGGGTGGGGGTGAGGCTGAGAAGCAGGCACCACTCCAAGAGGCTCCATGGTAGGGTTGGGGGATTAACTTCCCTTCCTTCTCCCCGCCCTTCCACCCAACTGCCCGTTTGACCCGCCCCTCTGAGGATGAGGCCCGGAAAAGAAATGAAGTTGCAATTCATCCATTCCCAATATTCATACGGAACTGATGTCATCATCACCGGGCCACACAATGGGATGGTTTTTCTGGATCATTCTCAATTAGCAAGAATGGTTCTTTGTCGTTTACCACTAGCACTCTCTATGGCTTTCTGGGTGACTAGGGAAAGCTGAACTCAAGCCCAGCAGCTACACACGGTGTTTGGTGTGAGATACCAGTGCCGATGGAGCCAGGGGCTGCGGGTTCGCTGCCGTTTGGGGCTCGTTCAGGGAAGAATTCCCTTCACTGCTAACAACGAATGAAAAAGCTCAAGGTAGAAAACTTCTGTTGACTCAATGACAACAGGCCGGGACAAGAGGTATAAATAGTCAGCCCCGCGCCCGCTGTGGACACAAAGGCAAACAGGATCATGCGGTATTTTGAAAATATTTTTAATATTTGCCACGTTTGTTGCCTGTGCTATTAATATAGACATTGAATTAGTAATAAATATTCAGCGGTTACAGAGTGCAGTCGCTCCTGTTCCTAATCGGTCGCAGCGAATGAAAGGAATCACCCTCACGCTCTGACTCCAGAGCGAGGCTCAGGAGGTTGCCCTGACAACAGCGATAAACCCAGAGTGAGGTTCAGGAGGTTGCCATGACAACAGCGATAAACCCAGAGCGAGGCTCAGGAGGTTGCCATGACAACAACGATCGCCAGGCTGGGCATTCTCTGGTGAGCACGAGTCCTGCAAACAGCAAAAGCGCCTCTTCTCACTTCCTGACGTCCCATGGGATGGCTTTAAAAGGAGAGAGAACACCACTTATCCTGTTACTCTTTTTTTTTTTTTTTTGCATAGGGAATGAACTCATTTTCTTTTAAAATGCAGCACTCGCTCCATGAAATGTCTCGATCGCCAGACACTGGCTTCTTGGACAAGATCAGAACTGGCGAGCCATGACAAGGCTCTGCAGAAGTTCATAAAAGTTGCGTCCGGATTTAAAATCAAACAGAAGGTTTTTTCTTTCCCCAAAGCATAGTTGTGATTCTAGACTATTCAGTAGAGAATTTCGGCCTGCAGGAGGCGCCCCCCGCGGGGCACACAGTGTTGGAGGATGGAGCACAGTGCTTCGCGTCCTTCCCTTCTGCTCCTCTGCAGGCACGCACGGCGAGGATGCGGGGATGCCGCACCTCTCGTGCCACGTCCACCTGCTGCCCAAGGAGAGGGGGACGGGGGCTAAAACGTGGTACATGGGTCACACAGTGCACTTTACAAACTAGCTCACTTCTGCTCACTCTCCTATAAAGTGCAACAAGACTACACACACAGAGACTTGTGCCTCAGTATTACGCAAGTCAGTAAAACAGATCGCCAGGAAAGAGTAGTGCAAACTCAACACGACGCAGCTCAGCATGCATCTCACGTGGCCCCAGAGAGGCCTCAGGGCTTTAAGTTCTTATGTTTTGTTCTTTCTCTCCTTTCCCCTTCACTTTTTAGAAGATTAATGGCAGGTTACTGTCATACGTAACCATGAAATAAAAACAATAAGTTAAAATCCTTTCCCCAGAAATAAGCATGTGCCACACAAGGAAATTCATGACGGAAGCTTGTGGAGAAACTGTCCGGCCTTTTCCTCACTCGGCTCAGCTCGGCCATGGGCACGCAAGGCACCCGTCTCTTGAAAACTCACGTTGTCCACAAGGCGAAGCAAAAGGGATCAGGGCAGTGGGGTCCCCTGCGGCTGGGCTGGCAGAAGCTGGCAAACCTCGGGCAGATCAGGTCTAGCCGGGCCCTGGTGAGACGTCTAGTAACCTTTGCGCTCTAAGAAAGAGTCCCGTGGGCGCCGCTCTCAGGTCCCTGGACAGCGTGGCCTGTGCTCGGTTCACAGTGACGTTCTGTCCAGTGCGTTCAGACAAGGGCAACCGGACAAGTTTTCCTGAACATAATTCACTAAGAGGCGGATTCCAGTGAGGTCCACGAGAGACCTTAGAAAGCACAGCCCGGGCCAGGCAGGCGGGGGGCTCAGGGTCGCAGGCCGCTCAGTCTGAGAACTGGAAGAGCGGCTCGGGGTGGCTGCCGTCGGCGGGCTGGCCGGGCTGCAGGGCCTTCGTGGGGGTGGTCTTCCCGTGCGAGTGGGAGGACGAGGAGTGGGAGCTCTCGCTGGAGCTGCTGCGCGTCTCCGTGCTGGTGCTCGTCTTCTTCATCTTCCTCCTCTTGGCCAGAGGGGCCTTGTCCACGTTCTGCAGGCAAAAGCCCTCTCTCTTGTACTTGTTAAAGGCCTAGGGGAGGAGAAAGGGAAAGGCCATGAAGGTCGGTCTTCCTGTCCTCTCCGCCCTTCTAAGGGACCACCAGAAGGCAGCTTCGGGCTGGCCGCCACAGCTCCCCGTGTACTGGGAAGAAAGCTCTTCATGCTGGGAGATCCAAGCCCACTGCAGGCGGGGTGCCGACACTGGTGGGGACACCGCTCCTGGGGGTCTGCCCAAGCAGGGACCTATACTTTCTCCTCCATGCTGGGGCTAGAGGTGGGGGCAGTTCTGAATAATGTCCTTTTTTTAGGCCATTAAGTTTGGGGACCTATGCTTTACTTCAAATCTGGTAAGCAGTCTGGCCGTCAAGCCTCGAAGACCTCATGGGAAGAAATTAGCTAGACCCAGTGAGAAACCACTGGCTGCGGGCTCACGGAGAGCCCTGGAGATCAACGAGACCCCCACCCCACTAGCTTTTCTGGTTCTGTGATTGAGATCTACAGTTCTGATCACAGTGTCCAGAGAGCAGAGCCCCCTGCCCTTCTGTAACTTGGGGGATCTCCCAACAGACAGGGCGAAACCTAGGCCTAGGGCCCACCCCCACCACATGCCCCCCAGGTGGCTTCCTGCTCAGGGCTGCTCCCTTTCCCTGCTCCACCTCTCTCAGCATCACAGGTCTAAAGAAGACTCAGGTAGCCTGGCCCTACCAAGTACTAGCACGTAGGCCTCCACCCCCCTCAACCCCACCTCAACGCAGCTCAGCGTAGACATTTTTACTTCTATTTGTTTCTTCGACAGAAGCAGTGATGTTTTTCCTTTTATCAGGGGCCGTGTGGCTTCCCTGTGACTCAGCTACTCCACAAGCAAATCCTCCTCACTGGTTTGCATTGGCTCTGCACATGTGTGCCCAATCTCACTCGCCCCACAAGCTACACTCAACACCTGCCTTCAGCATCGTCTCCCCATTCCTCCAGCTGCCACACCCCGTCTCTCTGACCAGTCCACAAACCCTCCTGGGCCTCTGTCTCCAGAACATACCGTACCACACACGCACACAGCTGGGGGCTTGGCTTCCACCTGTGCCTTACACCCGAATGCTTGCTTTTGGTGTCTAGAGAAAGCCTCAGGCTGCGTTGTACGTGTTAGTTTTCACCATGGCTGAACGTTTCCAATTGTTCCAACACTGCACTACTGTCCTCGTCGGCAAAGCCAACATGCAACACCAAGGCAGTCTTCTGTCCTCCCCCCGTCTGTTCACAAGATGAAGCGATTTATGAAAACCTACCTAAAGTGAAAAGGGCGTGCACTTCCGTAAGGACATACTAACGTATACCTGAGGACAGAGGACTGTCTGATCATGAACCTGAGATCAGAGCCTGCCACAGAAGGCTGCCTTCCCACAGGCAGAGCACAGGACCTGACAGGGAAGCCTGGCTCCTACAGGTGAAGGGTTAGGGTCCTTACATGGAAGGTGGCTTTCACACAGGTGTGCACAGCAGCTCCCGAGGACCCCAGGATGTCCGGTGTCATCAGAGGGTTGGAGGACAGCTGACTGCCGTCTTGAAGCCATTCGTTGTATCTCAGGCCAGACATTTTGAGCCTTTTGTTTGGATCGACGGTGAGGAGCCCTGTCCAAATAAACAATTCTGCCTTAGGATCTGTCCGGGTTCAAAGTCAACCTCAGACACAATCTCAATCGGTGCAGCACACGGGTGTGCACACGGTGCCAACCTCCTACAGAGATGAGGACAAGTGTGTCTACAGAGTGCCAGTGGCAAAGCCACAGCTTCTTGAGAGGCGGCAGGATGCGAACTGAAAGGGCCCGGGAAGCGCAGTGGCTCAGCAGCCCTCCGCTGCGAACTGAAAGGCTGGTGGTGGGGACCCACCAGCCACACCACGAGAGACGGAAGGGGCCCCTTCCGTACAGATCTACAGCCTCGGGAAGGCATGGGGCAGCAGCTCGACTCTGTCCTATGGGGTTGCTGTGCATTGGGGTAACTCAATAGTGGTGCTTTGGGGTTCTGGTAAGCTGAGTTTTCAACCAGGAGAGTACCACCCAAGATAAAGCTTCCCCCACTGGAGGCTGGGTGAGCTTGGGGTGATGAGTTTCCAGATCCACTGCCCTTCGGCACCAACATTTGCTGAGCTCCTCCTACGTGCCAGGCAGCAGGGGTATGCGGGTGGAGATGGGGAGGCGAGGAGCAAACACCAGCTTATCCCAACCCCAGGGGACAAGGGGGGCAGTGACCGCACTGGCAGCGAGTCACTGTGGGCCCAGAAGCCGAAGGAGGCTTCCCAAGGGGAACTCCTGGAGGGTGAGCAAAAGTTGGTGATACGAAGAGGGGCGCCCCCGGGATGGAGAAGGGCACTGTCCACGCAGGGCGGCCCTGAAGCTTGCCCACGTGCCGTTCCAGAATTCTGTCGTGGCAGACCAAGGGTGCGAGGGAGTCAAGGCAGGCAGGGGCGTGCTGTGTGGGGTTCTGGGTTTGAGTGCCCGCTCAGGAGCGTGGCTGGCAGCTGACAGACAGACTTCAATAGAAGAGAGACCCACCACATTTGGGTATGGGGTTCTTCTGCGGTGGGATGGGTGGGGCTGGGGGGGCTGGACCGCAGACTGCAGACTTGCAGGGAGAAGGATGGCCAGTGTGGCACCGGCCGAGTGAATGGAGCAGGCGGGGTGGGGGAGCAGAGAAAGGGCACACGGCGGTGGGAAAGGCTAGTCCTAAATGTGCTCAGATTTGAGATGCTGGTGCTTGCAATGTGGTACGATTCAGACATCCTCTTAAGAAGACAGTGCGATGGAAAGCACCCCAGGCACTTGTGGGGACACGGGACATCCTTGCATAATAACTGGGCTAGGAACTGGGCTAAACACAGGCCAGCAACTCAAAACCACCAGCTGCTGCTCCGTGGGAGAAAGAGGCAACTCTCTGTCCCGTAAACGAGTTACAGTCTGAGAAGCCACAGTGGCACTTCTACTGCGTCCTTCAGGGTCACTTTGAGAAGGACCCGAGGGCAGTACATCTGGGTTTTCCTTTTTCTTGTGCAATGGGTCTGATTTCAGTTCAATCACCACACCACGTAAGATGGACAGGTTTATTTTTTTCTTTTAATATACTTTCCACCCCCCCACAGTTTTATTGGCATATAATCCACATATACATTAAGAAGAATTGTAAAATTATCACCACAAATCCGTTTTAGAGCATTTTCTCCAATCTTGCTCTCATTGGGATTCGTTCCCCATTTCCCCCACCTCCCCTGCCAAACTGCGCCCCCAAGACGTACACGTCCTTGGGATTTTACCTTGAATCAAATCTTTAGCCTCCTGGGAGACGTTCTTCCAAGCTTCTCCTTCAAAGGAGAAGTCCCCCTTCTTAATTTTCTTCATGATGTCCACGGCGCTGGTGCACGCCAGGCTCTTTTCCTGAGACTGGAACGGGACCTGCCCCGACAGCATGGTGTACTGTCGGGAAGAGAAACGCCACAGCCAGCGTGAAGGTCAGCCCCGGCGCGCTCTGGTCCCCTATTACTAATTCCACTGGCATCACACACCCAATGCCCTAAACACCGTGGCTGACTTCAACAGGTGCTTTTCTTCTCTTCCCGGAGGCTAACACCGGGCAGCAGTGTGAACCCACCGGCTGCTCCGAGGGAGAAAGGCGAGGCTGTCAACTCCCGCAAAGCTTCACACCCTTGGAAACGCACAGGGGCAGCTCTGCGCTGTCCCACGGGGTTGGAAGAGTCAGACTGACTCGATGGCAGTGGAATTTGGGTTACTAAGGCAACCGACACGTTAAGAAACCCCACCTGTCAAGACAGTGTCACGCCTGAGTATGATATTAAAACGGAGTAACATTTTGAAAGCTATATTCAGAGTAAGAAGAATCTTGCCAACTCCCCCCCCCTCCACCCCCAAAAAGAGAGGGAATCTACCGCCTTCAGAAAGCAAGGACAGCGTGTTAATCGAAGATGGGAAGGCAGTAAAACCCCGTCATGATTTTTACCATCCATTTCCGTACAATTCCTCCCTCGGGACATAAAGCCATGGCTGAGCACCCCATAATTTCATTTTTCTTTTCTTTTGGCCGCCTGCTTCCGCCATTAGCCCCATTCTGATTTCCGTCCTCTCCCAATCCTGGGAGGGGCGGCTCAGCTAGTAACTGCCCGCGGTCCAGCTGGAGCGT